TAATTTTTTTACCACCCTTAAATCCACCTCTGCTATTTAAAATCACAATATTAAGATTGATCTAAATTTGATTTAAAAGTATTAAATATTAATGTACATTGTAGTCGATCTATAGCAAAAATTTTAAGGGCCTGTTATTGGCAAATCTTTAATTAGAATGAATTAAGTTACATAGTTAGGTAACACAAACTGGCGTTAAAACAAACCTATGAAAACTTAAATAAATACTTTTTATAACTTTCTAAATTCGTCTCTGAATGTCATTGTCACAGCACTTAAAGCAATAAATCAATGTTGCTATCAGAATTATCTTCTTCATTCTCATATGCAACCTAACTCCAGTAACTTCGAAGAAGTCTCTCTGCAAAACTTGCTTGAATTTGGAGGTGCCATCGAACCCGAATGATCACATCGAGCATTTGTATATGGCGCTCTACATAAAGAACACTGCGGCACCTATGGCTATACAATTCATGTGGGCAATAATAAATTAATTAAAGTACAGTATTTAATTTATATTCAAAAGAAATTCAAAAGAGATAGAACCTCCACTAATAAGATGGAACATATACAAAGACACAATATATGGTACAAGAATCTTCATAAAGCTTAAACGAGGATAAACATCATAAACAATATATTTCATCTGAACAATTTAAATTATTAAATGTCATCTTTTAAATAAACTCTCGTACGTCAAATCGGCTGAACCGGGGAACCTAGATTAAGTGTTTAGTGCAAGTACAAACAAAGGTAAAAGGTAAGAATCAAATATAGAATTTCAGCTAACAAAAACAAAATATCCAAAACAAGTCTACGTTATATTAGGCCTATATTGAAAAAAAAATGTAGACTTTTCAAAAATTCGGCCAAATATAGTTTGGCCGTGACTTTTCAATGCTACGGCCAGACAAATTTTTATACGGCCAGATTTGAGGAATCTGGCCGTCAAAAAGGCCAAATGGCAACCCTGAAACGTAAGGCATTAGTCCATAAGATAACTGAAAAGAATGGAAATTTGTGAAATTTGTCAGGAACCCAAAATATGTAAAAAAAAACGTAATTTCTAGCTTCTGTACGTGGTGCACACATAAAAATGCGCACGCGTAGTGGAAAATGTCAAAAAATTTTGAAATACTCAAAATGACCTGAAACGTGCTCTAATTTAGTCAAAAAGTGATTTTGAGCATTTTGAAATTTTGACAAACGCGTGTGTGCACATACATGACACCTTGACCTGAAGTTCATGCACCTGAATATGATTTAGAAAGGACAGTTGGTTAAGATGATATGATTGATAATGTAAAATACGCAAAATTGTGCATAGATGATGTCACGCATGACTGAGCAAATTGAAAACCTTATTGTGACTATTCTGGGCCAAGCCAAATGTTCATTGAAGTGAGAATGTTCGTAGCTCTTGGCAATTTTGAGATATTGTGCGAACAGAAATCAACAGAAAAAAAGAAGAAAAAAAAAGATCTGACAATACAAGGTGATCCGCTCGTGAAGCGAATCACTAAAAAAGACTTGCCCGACGATTATTAAACAATGCAGTTTTTATTGTTTGCTTACTCTCTAATGATTATAAATGCAAACAATATTGCGTAGGCTGGAACAGAATTTTAAGTTTATTTTATAATTTAAAACAGAAAAAAACATTGGTTTCCTTACAAAAGTGTTTACTTTCTTTAAAAAAATTAAAAAAAATTCCAAAAACCTCTTTTTTCTCCTCTTTTTGAATTTCACTTTTGTACAAATAAGAAGTATTGCAACTACACTGTGAGTGGAAATGCTACCTTCTAATTTACGACCAAAAAGGACTAGGGAGATAGGAAGCACACAAAAATTCAAGGTGATTTTACTTAATTTATCATTATCATGACATCATGGCGAGATGGTATCAACTTAAATCAAAATCCATCGGAGTATACATAAATTTGTGGTAACACTACTTAAATCAAAATATATAACCATTGCATTGCAAGATCAATGGGATGGTTACAAAATGTCAAACAATTGCATTTTTACTCGGTTTTGGTCCAGAAATAAGCACCGCACTTGGAACAGAGCACAAGTAAACAGACAAAATTCATGAGTCATTAGTAATTATTGTTGTTCTTTCCACTTGCTTTGAAAAGTGGGGTTTTAAACTACTATAGAAAAGGTTAACGATTAAATACAGTATTAAATACAGTAACGTATATTGCAGTTGATCATTTTTATAGCAATACTTTCATATTGCAAATCCGTGACTACTCTCTTTAGTTGGAGTGAAAATTAAATTAGATACATAAACCGGTGTTAATACAAAGCTATGAAAACTTTAATAGATAGGCCTACTATTATAAATTGTTATCTAAATTCGCCCCATTCGTTATCTATGCGGTACTTAAAACAATAAAGTTTTTACTTGGTTTTGGTCCGGAAATATGCACCGCACTTGGAACAGAGCACATGTGAACAGACAAAATTCATGAGTCATTCGTAATTATTGTTGTTCTTTCCACTTGCTTTGAAAAGCGGGGGTTTCAACTACTCTATAGAAAAGGTTAGCGAAAAGTGGTGGTGGGGACAACTGATATGATGGTACCCCATACAGTACTATGAAAAATGGGGAAAGGACGTGTTCCCCTGTCCCCAACTGATCGACGCCCATGAACACAAAACGCATTAGTTTATTGAGGCCTTACGGCCTACTCAAGCCCTTTGGCTTGTTTTTATTAATAATAATAAATAAATATAGGCCTAGGGCCTGGGCCTAATAATATTTAACTTGGTTTTTTTTTTATCTGTTTAAATAATATTAATAAGCTTGTACAGTATCAATATCCCCTCACATGTATGTTATCTTTACTGCTGTGCAAAATCTCAAACAAAACTAGCATGCATAGCAACAACAGCCAATGTCAAAGGTATGTAGCCCCTTTGGGGCTACTCACTAAATAAATTACTGTGTATGTGTAGCTCATCAGGTCAGGGGCATTGCAGCAAGCAGGGCAAGCCTGGCGTCGGCGACCTGCCATAGTGATACGTCAACAAGCTAAACAAAGTGGATTACATTTTAATTAGGCATTAAGTTCAATAAAGCAATTCACCAAAAAAATTGAACACCCCTTATTACCAATGAGTTCTTGTTACGAAACACCACAAACACCAACATCAGCATTCAACAAACAGCATTCAAACTACTTGCGCATCACTTCTTCGTCCGTTTTTCAAAGCGGTCTGCCACTCAGGGTTGCCAGATAGTCGACAGGGTTCACGGCCAAACACACGCCATCTCACGGCCAAATTCGGCCAAACTTTTTTTCGATATCGGCCAAAATTAGGCCAGATTTTAATCCGATTAGAAGACAACAGTTGGTACATTCATTTGAAATACTACAAAAATGACACGAAAATCAGCGGTCATTTGTTTGAAATACTACAAAAATGACACGAAAATCAGCGGTCATTCGTTTGAAATTGAAGAAATTCAAATGATATACACAAAACAATGTTAAAAATAAATAGCCTATTCTTTAGATGCTGGCATGTAGGCCAATTTAGGGGAAAATCCAGAGATGTCCGAAAGGGGGAGGAGCCGGGGCCGAAAAAATGGGGATGGGGTGGGGCGAAAGTCGGTCCGATAGAGATAACAACATTTGTCTTTTCTAGACACCTGAAAATAACCACCCCTCGCCCTTAAATCCACCTCTGCTATTTAAAATCACAATATTAAGTTAGATCTAAATTTGATTTAAATGTATTAAATATTAATATACGTTGTAGTCGATCTATAGAAAAATTTTAAGGGCCTTGGCATATCCGTGGCTCTTTTTACTTAGAATGAATTAAGTTACATTAGGTAACACAAACCTATGAAAACTTTAATAGGCCTAAATACTTTTTATCTAAACTTTCTAAATTCGCCTCTGAATGATATTGTCGCAGTACTTGAAGCAATAAAATCAATGTTGCTATTAGAATTATCTTCTTCATTCTCATATGCATGAAACTTAACTCCAGAGTAGCTTCGAAGAAGTCTCTGCAACACTTGAAATTGGAGGTGCCATCAGACCCGATGATCACATCGAGCATTTATGTATGGCGCTCTACATAAAGAACACTGCAGCACCTAGGGCTATAGCAATTCATGTGGGCAATAATAAATTAATTAAAGTACAGTATTTAATTTATATTCAAAAGAAATTCAAAAGAGATAGTAACCTCCACTAGTAAGATGGAACATATACAAAGAAAAACATATGGTACAAACTTGCAATGAACTGCCTTCATAAAGCTTATACGAGGATAAACTTCATAAACAATGTATTTCATCCGAATAATTTAAATTATTAAATGTAACTGCTATCTTTTAAATAAACTCTCTTACGTCAAATCGGCTGAATCGGGGAACCTAGATTAAGTGTTTAGTGCAAGTACAAACAAAGGTACAAGATTAGAATCAAATATAGAATAATTTTAAGCTAACAGAAACAAAATATCCAAAACAAGTCTACCTTATATTAGGCCTATATTGAAAAAATGTAAACTTTTCAAAAATTCGGCCAAATTCGGCCAAATATAGTTTGGCCGTGACTTTTCAAATGTTACGGCCAGGCAAATTTTTATTTTACGCCAGGGTTGTTATTCAATGGTAAACAATAGTGCGCCCTCTCCCGGGGCACCGGAGTCAGCCATTGTTGGTCGATATTCACATGTGTTTGGTTCTTGCTGAATAAACGTTATAACTGTAGACTACC